AGGCCACTAGGATCGGCTGAGGATTGGGCCCAGCCTTTACTTCAGTAGGGGGGGAAAGGGCAGATTTCCGGCAGGATAGCGATGTTCTTCCAAGCTGCAGCTGCCTTTCTGCACAGACACTCCAGGGGAGTGGGGTTGTTTTGCTGGCTGTTGGTCGGGAAAGCTATATTTGTGGGGATGGGTCACAGGGTCACAGCAGCATCTGAGCTACATTCCCACCGGCTGTCTGCCTGGAGTGACTGAATGTGCTGCGTTAAAATGAGCAGGTGACAATTAAGCCTGCCGCTGGGAACCTGCTCCAAGTGGTGAGTCATGCATAATGATGGATGTACCGTACCTGCGGCTTTGCGTCTTGTCTCCCCACCGCAGAGTCCAAGCCCTGGCAACGCGGGGTGCTAATGGTGCAGGCAGGCAAGTACTCCAGCTGCAGCTCCTTTGTCTCCCCTCCCCTCTCCCCCCTCCCCCCCGGCGGATGGGAAAACCCATTCATTGGGGAAACCCATGGTGCTCGCCCCCGTGATGGGCCTGCTAAAAGTGGGATGTTGTTGCTATGGTTATTTGGTATTTTTGTGGTCAGGGTAAAGCGAGAGCTGCTTTTAAACTCCTGTTCTTCCACCGCAGATCTCAGCGCTCTCCACAGGGAACGCAGACCCGCTGCAAGACGGAAGCATTTGCAACTATTCCACAGCTGTGCAGGGCTTCACCATTGGCACTGCGCTGCCTTCGGAAGCCAGTCAGAACATCCCAGCAATAGCACCTATCTATCTATGGTACTTACTTATAGTACCACTGGCACAGTTCAGGGCAGCTGCTCCTGTATTCCTCCTTGGTCCAGCACGGACTCTCCCTCTCTGGCTTCGGGCTGTCATGGCCGGGGAGACACGTGTCTCCCTCTCTTCTGACCAGGATATCTCCAGCCTGAACAGGTCCCTGCCTTCACGGTGTTCTTCTCAGCAAAAGACAGGCTACTGAAGCAGGCTTCTCTTGCTTTCTCTTCAGAGACTAACAACCCAGCAATTGCCAACAGTATCTAAGTTATCACACAGTTCTTAATAAGCAGCCATATTTTATTCTCAAGGGACTACAGAGAAAACTTATTAAAAACAATAGAAGAACCTATCCGCGTAATGTTACCCGAAATTGGGCCAGCTAGTAAGCTTAGGGAGGACTAATGACCCACCAGAGTTTGGCAGAAAGCAGCATGTTTATTATACTGATAGCTAAGCTCAAAAGAAGGGGGAGGGGGGTCACACTCACACTTGCATACTCACGCTCCCAGGACAGGCACGGCACTGGAGATGTCAGGATCCTTCAAGGTAAGTGTCCCACAGCGCAGCGATGGATGGGGCGATGAAGGTAAGTCTTCCTGAGGCACGATGGAATGCAACGCGGCGAGCCACTGTCCAGGCAGTCCGGGAGAAGGGTCTTCATGGGAGGTACAATCTTGTGAGTGCACTGCCGAGCACATGGCCTCTTCCCCTTTTAAGGTCCTGCTCCTCATGGCCTGCGACTAGAGTAATAGACTTTAAGGTCAGAAGGGACCATTATGATCGTCTGGTCTGACCACCTGCACAATGCAGGCCACAGAATCTCACCCACCCACTCCCGCAACAAACCCCTAACCTATGTCTGAGCCACTGAAGTCCTCAAATCATGGTTTAAAGACTTCAAGGTGCAGAGAATCCTCCAGCAAGTGACCTGTGCCCCACCCTGCAGAGGAAGGCGAAAAACCCCCAGGGCCTCTGCCAGTTTGCTCTGGAGGAAAATTCCTTCCTGACCCCAAATATGGCGATCAGCTAAACCCTGAGCATGTGGGCAAGACTCACCAGCCAGACACCCAGGAAAGTTGTAACTCAGATCCCACCCATCTAACATCCCCTCACAGGCCATTGGGCATATGTACCACTAATAGTCAAACTAGAGATGACTTGGCCGCGTCTGGTTGGTCACACTCCACCTTGGACAGTGTCCATGCAGTGTCCATGCATTGGGTGTGTGAGCGCTGCGTAATTAGAGTCCCAGACACCATAGGCGCCAACTTTTCCCAATGCCGGTGGGTGCTCGCGCCCCCCAGTCCCTGCCCTGACTCCACCCCTGCCCTGTCCCCATTCCAACCCCTTCCCCAAAGTTGCTGCCCCAACTCCGCCCCCTCCCTGCCCCTATTGGACCTCTCCCCAAATCCCCGCCCCGGCCCCGCCTCTTCCCCCGAGCGCCGCGTTCCCCCTCCTCTCCCTCCCTCCCACCACTTGCCACCTAATTACGCAGCGCTCACACACCCAATGCAAGTGCTGGGAGCCAGGGGGGAAAGCAGGCATGGGGCGCGCTCAGGAAAGAGGCCCCAGAGCACCCACGGAGTCAGCGCCTATGCCAGACACTTTGTCTACCTGGGAGCTCTTCTGATCTTCCAGCTGTTCAAACAGCCCATTCATCCGACAAGCATTCCAGGAGGGGAGGGGAGGGGGAAAGCCACTTCACAGGTATTCAAAGTGGGAGAGGAGATGAAAGCGGGGGGAAGGTGTAACAGACCTTTTGAACATACAGGTTATACAGAGCATACAGATCACTGCTGCTCCTACAACACATGCTACTAAGCTGGTCCGAGATCCCGCCCCTCCAACATGGGCACTGGCAGGGATTTTCACCTGGTTTCAAGTTCATCACACCCTCAGCTGAGAACCATCACAGCCTGGAAAAGTTTCGTTCACCCTTTAGAGGTCTTTGAACTGCCCATGAAGAGGCAACAATGAGTCTCTGCTTCAAAAGGCTGGATTTGAGGTGGGTCATTTGCATTTCCTTCACCCACCCACCCCAAGTATTTCCTAGGAAATACACTTTGCTCATATTGCCCCCCCCCGCCCAACGTCCTCTGAAGTCCCTAATATCTTCCAGAGATTTCATTAATCGTGTCCTCTCGCCTAAAGAGGTTCCATACAACCCCACGCTAGCCCATGAACATTTGCGTTTTCACGACAACGGACTCCCCAAATCCTTAACCTTCATTCCATGAGGTTTAACATGATTCCATAAGGTTCGGCCAGGACACTGCTGGATCTGTCCCAACTACTTATGCCCTGTAGGATCTGAGCACCTCACAATCCACGTGACACTCAACTTGGAGATGTTTCCGAGCTTCTAAAATAATGAACCACCCTGGCATGTCGAACAGCTGGCTCAAGTTGGAGCCTAGGGTCTGGGACCCTCCAGCCTCGCGGGGTCTCGGAACTCAGGCTCCAGCCCCAGCCTGAACGTCTACGTGGTAATTTTATAGCCTCGCAGTCCAAGCTCCATGTGCCTGCGTCAGCTGATCCAGGCCAGCTGCAGCCTCACTGCAGGTCTTTCATCGCAGTCTAGAGGTACCCTTTGTTGTGCTCTGCTCTCCGCCAGCCCCCCTCTCCCTCTCCGGGCCTAGATGCCGATTCTCTTTGCTGTCGTTTGCACCACTGCGTCATTGGTGCAAACCAAATCAGCATTTGACAGATGTGGAGAAATTGGTGAGGGTCCAGAGAAGATCAACAAGAATGATTAAAGGTCTTGAGAACATGACCTATGAAGGAAGGCTGAAAGAATTGGGTTTGTTTAGTTTGGAAAAGAGAAGACTGAGGGGGGACATGATAGCAGTTTTCAGGTATCTAAAAGGGGGGTCATAAGGAGGGGGAGAAAACTTGTTCACCTTAGCCTCTAAGGATAGAACAAGAAGCAATGGGCTTAAACTGCAGCAAGGGAGGTCTAGGTTGGACATTAGGAAAAAGTTCCTAACTGTCAGGGTGGTTAAACACTGGAATAAATTGCCTAGGGAGGTTGTGGAATTTCCATCTCTGGAGATATTTAAGAGTAGGTTAGATAAATGTCCATCCGGGATGGTCTAGACAGTATTTGGTCCTGCCGTGCGGGCAGGGGACTGGACTCGATGACCTCTCGAGGTCCCTTCCAGTCCTAGAGTCTATGAATCTATGAGCCATTTTACCCTGATGTAAATGACCATGCACAGGAGAGGGCCGTGGGGAATTTGGCCCCAGGTCTTTTCCTTCGCAGGGTGTTTCATTGCCGTCGTTTCAGCTGCCAGTGACACCAAAAGTCACAAGCACCCAGGAATGGGGGTATTCTTGCACCCGCATTAACTCTCCCGTCTCCTTCGCTGGTTCTGCACTCTGCTCCTCTGAGCCATCACGACACAGGTCAGGAGCTGGGGCTCTCCACTTGCCATGTCCAAGGGAGTCCTTGGCCGCTGATCCTCCACAATCCATACAGGCCAGCGATCCAGCACCCACCCCACACCGTAGGAAGGAAAAGGGCCAACCTCTGCCTCAAGCACCAGCCTCTCGGACACCTGACAAGTCCCAGAAGCATCAAGCGGACGGCAGCAACCTAACCCCGCCAAGCACGGTGTGGATTTCTCAGCGCACCAGGCAACGCTTCCCCATGCTGGCTGTGCTCATCAGAATCTAATGCGCCCTCCTGACCCCCTCGGAGAGCAGCTGGGGAACAGAAGGCATCATGCTCCAGCGAGCAGGGCAAAGCGGCTGTCTCGCCATCGGCCTGCAGGGTTGCTAAGTGGGCCTCAATCTTGCATCACTGGTCGAGTGTGTGTGGGGGATAAGTTTACAATGTCACCCCCGGTCCCTCCTCCATGGGTGTCTGCTTTCAGCGAGCGCTCTGTGTCAAGTGACCAGTAGCTGTCACCAGTGCTGATGGACGAACACTTCCCCGCAGCAGGGATCCAGCGAGCATCTCAGGCTGGGCTCCTCGGGGAACACCCCGCTGCCAGGGCCTTTTCTCTCCTGCATCCCTGCAGGGCGGTTTTACCAGAGCAGACAGAAATCCCCGCCTGTTAGCATTCGTGCTCAGGATCAGCCGTAGCTTTGGAGCCGGGGGAGAGCAAGAGACGGGGAAGAGAGCCCGGCCCGATAAAGGATTGGTTCTGTTTGTGCATCCGCGCCGTGTCCGGGATGGCAGAGGTGGGGTGGAGAAAGGCACCTACCATCGCTGCTCATGAGACCGGTATGCTTGCTGTGAAGCCCCCGGTTCCCTTTGGCGTGGGGCGAGAGTGTAAGCAATGAGGAGCAGGTCTGTCTTTTTATGATGTGTCTGTACAGTGCCTAGCACCGGGGGCCTCGATCTTTAGGTGCTACTGTAAATAAATGAATAAATAACTTCAGAGGGACTGTCATTTCCTGTACATTTGTACGGCCCTTAGCAAAATGGGAAGCTGACCTAGAGGTGCTACCGTGCCTCAGTTTCCCCATCTGTAAAACAGGGATAATGATTCTGACTTCCTTTGCCAAGCATTTTGAGATCTGCTGATGAAAAGGGCTATATAAAAGTGAGGGATTATTATTGTTATGACTGCAATATACATCATTAAATTAACGGACGAGAGCAATGAATCTCCTGACTTTGGGCGGGCAGCAAAGGAACTTTATGAAACCTACCTGGAAATTGTTCCTTTAGAGAATCAGATTGGAGAGAGTGGTTTTGTTTGTTTGTTTGTTTGTTTCTGTTTTAAAGATCCTGAAAGGTCTGGATATGTTTATTTCTGAGATGGCCCCAAAATAAAACCCGGCCCATCCCAACCCCACCACAGCGCAGCTGGCCTGGGGCAAATTCCTGACCTGCTTGGTGTGTCAGTTTCCCCACTTGTGAAAAGAGGGATTGTAAAATTGACCTACCTCACAGCAGGGACGGAGGGGATGTGGTGACGCTGAAATGTCTGTTCAGAGCTGCTGTCAAGATGTCAAGTGTCCCATAAGCGCTAAATCGTTAGAAATCACTGCTGGAAACGGGAGCGGGTGGGAGGTAGCTGGTCTTGGTTCTGTAACATTTCTGTTCATTACAGTGCTCCGGATTCAGGCAGCCCTTTCCTTAGTGCTGTCACTTCACTCCTCTTCGAGTAGGAGCTGCAGGCGTTTCGATGAATGGCTTATGGAAGATGCTTTAGTTCCACCGTTGCTTCTGTAGGCGCGTGTGTATCCGCTGCTGGAATTCTATCTGCTCCCTTCTCAAATTGGTACCCCAGCACTGCATCCTGGGACAGCAGAGAAACTCCGTTTCCTAGGGCATGGCTATACTGCAATCCCAGGGCATGGCTGCCTCTCCTCTCGATGTACCTGAGCTAGCTTTAATGTAGCTGGCAGCAGTGAGTTTCAGCACATGTATCAGTGGGCATGCCTGCCCTGTAGCGCCCCCTTCTGGCAAAGCATGGTGCTGCGAGCTCTGCCCTCAGTTTACCTTCTTCAGGGGCTCCTTAAGTCACCTCCTCCAGTCTAGAGTCGTCAAAACATTCCCCTTCTGGGTCTAATTTACAGTTCACAACAACACACAGTCCTGCAGGCCTTCCCCCACTCCACCCTCAGCCATTCCCCAGCTGGAGTCTTTCCCTCCCCACTTCCCCACCACCACTTTTGGAGATATCCCATCTCCTAGAACTGGAAGGAACCTTGAAAGGTCATTGAGTCCAGCCCCCTGCCTTCACTAGCAGGACCAAGTACTGATTTTGCCCCAGATCCCTAAATGGCCCCCTCAAGGGCTGAACTCACAACCCTGGGTTTAGCAGGCCAATGCTCAAACCACTGAGCTATCCCTTCCCTATTGTCTCCACTCCAGCCTCCCTCTTTTCCCAGGAGAGGCTCCAAGCTTTTCAGCTCCACCCTAGCTCTTGCCTGCTCTTTCTTTCTATGGCAAAGCAGAGTTGGCTGAAAAATCTATATCTAAATCTAACTACTTAGTGGTTTATATTCTCTCATTCTACCCAGCAGGCAACGGTACAACACCTTTCTAATACTACCCCATTACCCTGATATTTTCACTCCTGTTTCCTCTTCCTGTTTCCCCCCTTTATAAGGCGCCTTCCATAAGACCAATTTGGGCAGCAGGTAATGAGTCACACGTGCCCACTACCTCTTAGAGGACAAGTCACCCTGATCGAGCTTGCTAGCCCCTGCAAGTAATTACCCAAGGTTCCAGGTGGGCTTGTAGAAGTCCATGCTAATACGGCCCCACTGTTCCAGTACCTGAGTTAGCTAGATCAAAGCGAGCTCAGGTAAATTTAAATAAATAAATTTTAAATTAATGGAGGTATCCTATCTCCTAGAACTGGAAGGGACCTTGAAAGGTCATTGAGTCCAGCCCCCTGCCTTCACTAGCAGGCCCAAGTACTGATTTTTGCCCCAGATCCCTAAGTGGCCCCCTCATGGATTGAGCTCACAACCCTGGGTTTAGGAGGCCAATGCTCAAACCACTGAGCTATTCCTCCCCACCAGGTATATCTGTGTGAGCTGCAATCACACTCTGTGATTGGAGACTAGACATGCCCTTTGTGGTGGTACATCCCCTGCTCAAAGGCTGCACCAAATTGGAACTTCAGCTGTGTGCCCTGCATGTAAAATACAGACCCCCCCAAACCCTGATGCTGAAACAGCTTCAAATGGAAGGCGATTGCTCTAACAACATATGCAAATTAATAGATTAGTATGAATTATTTGTATTATTGTAGCACGTAGGAGTGCCCGTCATGGGCCAGGACCCGATGGTGCTAGGCGCTGTACAGATACAGAAAAAGACAGTCCCTGTCTCAGAGAATTGCGTCGTCAATCTCTCTTCTGATGTGACAGCACCAGGGGTTCTGTGCGGACAGCAATCGGCAGCTTCCTATATGAAAACTCCACCGGGCTGAAGCAATATAATAATGTTTCTCCGGTGCCTTTGAATCTGAGCATCTCAGAGTGCTTCGCAAATACGAAATCATTTCATTGTCAAGTCCCCCTTGGAGGATAGAGAACGCTCACAGTGTCTGCGTTAGAGGTGGGGAAACTGAGGCACAGAATGGTTGAGCAACTTGCCCAAGGTCCTCCTTGGAGTCAATGGCCGAGTCCGGGGTAGTACGCAGGAATTCCTAGCTTTTTTCTTCTAATCACCAGCTCGGACTCTTTCCAAGAGTTGGGCACAGAACCCAGGCACCCTAGCGCTCAGTCCTGGGTTCAGATCACTAGCTAACACTCCTTTCCAGAGCGAGGGACAGAACACCGCAGTCCTGGCTGCTTCTGCTCTAACCACTAGGCGACATTGCTGATGGCAGTCTGGTTTTCTGACACATTATTAACTCATGTGCATTTTGTTGGTTTGTGCCAGGCCCCGGGCCGGGACAGTACCGTCTGCCTCCTACTGTCGGATTTGTCAACCACGACTACACCAAGTTAACCAGCCCAGCGTATTCCTTTCACAGGAGACTCAGTAATGGCAGTAAGTCTTTGTGAACCACTCTCTCTAAAACAGCCTGGGTCTGAACGACATCAGTCTCACATTCTTCCCAGTGCCCCCCTCACACACAATTCCCTCGGCTCCGTATCCAGTGTCACTTCACCCACCTCCCAGCCCTTCCTCCAAGCATCCGCTCAGGCACTGAGACCAAGATCAGTATGTGTGTGTATACCCCACCCATGTGTGTATACCTCCTCTCCATGTGTATATATGGCCCATATGTGTTTGGATCCCATCTCTGTGTGTGTACCCCAGTGTGTGTGTGTGTGCACCCTCCAAGTGTGGGTTTGTCTGTCTGTTTATATCACCCATGTGTGGGTTTGTGTCCTGCCTGTGTGTGTTTATCACCCATCTGTGTATGTGTGTTTTCTCTGTGTGTGTATCACTCGTGTGTGTGTGTGTATCACCCGTGCGTGTGTTCTGTGTGTGTGTATCACCCGTGCGTGTGTTCTCTGTGTGTGTGTATTACCCAT